CGAGAGGATGCGAGCCACACAGTAGCCACGAGGAAGGCTTTGTTCTGCTCTCACCTCTCTCCTTCCTGGCAGAGGAGAGACGGCTCTGACAAAAACCACATTTTCCCCATTCCCAGCGGCTTGGCGGGTCAGTCCCGGGGCTGACATCGCGGTCTGTCCGTCGGACTACGAGATCCCGGAATCGCACAGCGTCAGTCCCACCTCAGCATCGGAAAAACGCTCCGATTAACGCGGCTGTCGCACGCAGCGCTGCGGGACAGCTCTTCCTGCCCTGGCGCGCGCGCGGGGCTTCCTCCGACCGCGTTCTCCGACGCCAGAACCTGCAGCTTCCCCTATCGGAAAGAAAATAAATAATCCGGCTCTTGAATTTGCTCGACACACGCAAGCTTCCTCGAAGGAATCCTTCGAACCATCACGACACCCCTCTCCAAACGAGCCCTTTACAGGCTCAGTTTCACTCCTTTCCACTCCTCTGCGGACCGTTTCTTGCAAAATACTTTGTGTTTTTGCCTCTCGTCCCTCCACCGTTGCCAGTGGTCACTACACGAACGCGCGCAGTCCCAGATCATCACCACCACATGCAGGCTCCATGGTTGCTCCTCACCACGGAGCAAAGTAACAGGCAGTTAAAATATCCTCTACGTTATAACATCAGTGGCTGTTAGACCCAGTATGTCCTCTCCAAACCAAGAGGCTTCCTCCATACGTAGAAATCCTGGCAGAGTAACCTAAACCAACCATCCCCACAAAATATACACGTGTCGCTCTCACTCCGTCCAAAAAAGTGTTAAGTCTTACACGATCCTCATAATTCCCAGCACTGCTGAGGGGTTTCCAGCTGTCTCCAGACATTCCCTGAACTCTTGGGTAGGAAAAGTTTTGTGTTCAAAGTGGATGGTTGGTGTAAAAAACCACAGCAGCTCCTCACCTCACACGCACCTCTCGGCGTGTCAGAAGTCGTGTTTTCTTTTTCGACGCAGGGATTGACCCCATCTTTTCTCAGCAAAAGCCACAGCACTGCCAAATCGTGGTGTTTAATATTACTACTACTTAATATTATTGGAATTGTAGGCAGGGAGCGTTTGCAATCCTAAAGGGGCAGCCCTTCATCACCCTGCAAAACCACCGCGAGACAGCGGCCGCCTCGCGCAGCCGTGACGGGGATCGCGCTGCCCGAATTTACGAGCTCGAGAAGCAGCAACGCCTTGACGTGGCTTATTAATTTGACAAAGAATAAATAAAAATAAATCCTTGCCCCTGCTCTGCACCGATCTGGTCGCCTGCTGATGTCATTCCCTTTCCACTGCGATGTCACGTTGTCACCGGAATGTGGGTAAGGAGATAAAATTAGGAGCTGACTCGCCGGGCAAGTGCCAGATGCGCTACAACAACCCGAAGGCACGAGCTCGCCGCAGAGACAAGTAGATTTGGCATTTGAGGACGTAGCCAGGAACTGGGCAGGTCACATTGCACACAAAAAAAAAAAAAAAAAAAATCAGTTATTAATCTTCTCAGGAGGCTCTCCGAGCTTTCAGTTCCCAAACAAACTTCTTTAGATAACCAAAACCCAGGCGTTGTCTACACCCCCTGTTCAAAGCACCCTCCCCAAAGATTAGTAAAGGATCTCAACAAACTATTTTTAGTGCTATTATGTCTAGATACTAAAAAGGACCCAAACAAACAGCACGAAGAAGACACTGTTCTTTGACATTTAAGCCGCATTTGTAGATGAGGATGTAATGGAAACTGAACTTGGGCCCCATCCCAACCATCTTTCCTACCCTTTAACCCTGAGAAAAAGGATCCATAAATACACAAAAGGATCAATACATGAAAGGATCAATCAAACACCTCTCGGAAAGCAATGATGTATCTGCCAAGACACAAACCTGCCACTTGCATCCGACGCTCCCCACGGTCTCTCCTCCTAAATAAGAGCCCCACCAACACAGCTGATAATTTTGTGATGTTACTGGCGAGTGAAGTGACAAACGCTCCCCTCGATGCCCCAGAAACGTGCCCCTCAGGAAGGGATGCCCCTACGGATCACATAGGGGGTCTAAGCACATTCCCAAGCAAACCTGGCTCTCCAACGTACGCACGGAGGCCTGAGTCAGCCCGAGCTGCTGCCTCAAGAACTTTGTTGGAGTAGCTGTCACAGGTCAGACACGTACAAACAATTATCCTTCCCGTCATTGCCAGCAAAGACTCTCTAAATAGACTAAATTCCAGCAGCCCCGAGCTCCACTGATACAGGGGGGAGGAATAACAAGGGAACTGCCAGCTGTTTTTTATTTCGAGTTTAGTGAGTAACCACAAGCAAATGCTTGAAGGAAGGCAGAGCCTTGGGCTTCCTACAAATCCCTTATCCTAGGAGGACATCTACCCTCTCCTACCTCCAAAATTAAGTTACTTTGCAGAAATCCAGGAATCTACCAGCCCTCCTGGCAGAGCACAGGACAGTAACTGATAAAGGAAGCAGTGCTCACCCAGAAATTTTGTAACGTTTCAAATAGGCAGCTCTAGAAAATGATTAACCACCTTCCTTGATGTATTTACTGAAAATTACCCCTGAAGACAACCTTCTACCCTTCCTCACCCAACTAATGTGCGAGATCGAACCCAGAAAGAGGGAATTCAGGCTGGAATTGCATTCTCCTACGCCGACGCTAAAAAACAAAGCCTTGTCTGCTTGTTAAAAGCATCACCAGGTACTCTGTTGTTCTCTAAAGGACAGGAGAGAAACTCCCAAGGCCTGGTTAATGTCTTGTTCTTTAGGAAAAACATAAAAAATTAGGTTCTAACATCTGAGGTTAGCAAAGCTGTCACAGGTAGCCAAGAACTTACAGCTGCAGACACCTGCTCCACCAAAACCACCGAGTAAGAGCACAAGTAGATAATCCTAAGATATCTCCAAGCTGACTCCTCATTAACCACCTATTTCTTTCCTCTGAAGAGAAATTAATCTCCTATTAATTGCTGGAACATTCCAACTCCTGAGGCTATCGGGAATCGGGCTGCTCCATTAATTAATTCTCCAAGTTATTGCGCGTACGTTCAATCCTGGCTCGGACCGTACCCGAGCAAGCCGCGGATGCTTTCCCGCTGCGCTGGCGTTCACATCTTCCATAGGCAGACACCGCTTCCTGGCAGCAGGGAGACGGAGAAACAGGACACGAGAGTATTTTTGGGAACAAGCCTGGCAGGCGCCACACAGTATTCCCAGCACGGATATGTTACGGAGAGGGGAAAAAAAGCACTTGGGAGGGCAGCAGCACCACTCTCCGCACCTCCTGTGGCAGCGAGGTGCCCAGACGTTCCTCAGAGATCCAGATCAGGAATGTATTTACACCTTTTATAGAAAAAAAAAAAACAACAGAGGCTAAAACTTGGCAAAATCCCTCTAATTTCCATGTGATTTTGCGAAGGCACATCTCTAATCCCAAGGATCATCCTTGCCTTCTGCACCCACGTCCCTGCGTGGGGCAGTCAGCGCATCCAGATGTTCTGCAAGAGCAGGTACGAGACAGAGACCGCTCCCGAGAGACCCGGGCAGGGCCGATATCCCAAACCCGACACTCGCTTCCCGGTTATTGAGGTACCTGCTCGTTCCCAACCTACAAACATCACTTTTCTCACCAAACAAACCGCCTCTGCCCAAGCGATGCTGAGGAGCAGGAAGAGAAACTTCCATTTCCCAGTTTCAAGGTGGTTTTTTTTGACTGATTACAAATACCTAAAGTAAATATTTACTAAATGGGGTTTTTTTTTAAAAATAAAATCAAACCCTATCCTCACAGCCCTTCTTCCTGACATCAAAACTCGGAGGTTGTGCTCTCAGGTCTCCTCCAGGGTACAGCTCGCAAGTGCCAAAACCCCGCTACCTCGTCCTCTGTCCACCCGAGCAGAGTGGAGTCACGGCATTACGCTCCGGAATATTTCCCTTTGGACTTCTCCGTACTTTGCTCATATTTAGCAACTCGAAGCGACACCAGGTAAAACCTTTCTAACCAGTGACCGCGCCGCCGTGGCTGGAGGGTGAAATCCAAGGCGGG